GTTACTCGTATATACTCGTATGTTACTCGTATGTAGTCGTATGTTACTCGTATGTACTCGTATGTACTTGTGTGTTACTCGTATGTTACTCGTATGTACTCGTGTGGTGTTTTAGTCACGATCGCCCACGAGTGCGTAACATGCGATCTACGTACAGTATGCATGGCAGATTGTTCCCAGGTGCAGACGATCTTTTGTTTAAACGTTATTTCAATTTCTAAAGGTCTCGTTTTCTAATATATGCACCCCATCAATATTTCACGCACTACGGTTCGGCATATATGCAATTGAAAAGGCATTCAAATTTTAACAATATGCTTGATTTCTAAAGTCTCCTTTTTTTATACACCCTGTATGTTGATTACTTCTCTTACAATAGAACTAAGTTAGAATTTTTAATTAGATATGCTTGTATATACAGGGTGTATCAAAATAAACGCAATTCATCTTTTGTGCTTCATAACTTTCGAAATACTATTTCTAGTTAAACGCTTTTAGGCTTACTTCAAAGCCTGTTCTTTTCTCTTTCAAACAAACTATCACTATCAAGCTTTATGCCTAGGTAACAGTATTCCTGTACAACAGATATCTTTTCATTTCCTAGTGTGAAAATTGGCTTCGCTTTTTTTGTTTTCCTTTTTTCAAAAATCATAATTTGGGTTTTCTTTAGGTTTACCTCCATTAGCCACTTCTTACTCCAGCTATGGAGTTTATCCAGACACTTCTGGAGGCCGAATTTTGATTTAGATAGTATAATTAGATCATCTGCGTAAAGAAGACAGCTCAGTTCTGTTCCGTTTGGCAGTATAAATGGGTCCGAATTGGTGTTTTTAAATAGGGTCGTTATTTCATTTATATAAATATTGAAAAGAAGGGGGCTTAGTATACATCCTTGACGTACACCTTTAGAATAAGTGAAAAAATCGGTTCTGATGTTGTTTTGTTTGATTGCACATTTCGAGTTAGAATAAATACTCTTAATAAGACTGTAAAACTGACCATCAATTTTATTTTCAAGTAATTTCAAAAAAAGACCTTCGTGCCAAATAGAGTCAAAGGCTTTTTTTAAATCCACGAAACATGCATAAATTTTACCTTTGTTTTGTTCTACTTGTTTGTCAATTAGTGTTTTCAAAGTAAAAATATGGTCTGCAGTTCGGTGACCAGACTGAAATCCAATTTGCGATGGATGTATTAAGCTTTGTTGGTAACTAAAATTGCTTAGGCGGTCATTAAGGATAATACAGAAGAATTTGCTGAAACAGCTTGTCACACAAATTCCTCTGTAGTTGTTGGGGTTAGTTTTATCACCAGACTTAAAGATTGGCGTAATCAGACCTTCACACCATTGATCTGGGAAGCTACCAGTTTCTAGTATGAGGTTAAAAAGTTTTTTGTATCCTTGTAACAGTATGTTTGTACTGTATTTGAGCATTTCGTTTCTTATTTTATCAGAGTACGCGGATTTGTTGTTTTTTAATTTCCTCGCAGCGTTGATAATTTCGTATTCTGAAATAGGTTCATCGAGTAAATTATTTGTGGGTTCCATTTCAAGAGTTTTAAGCGTTTGTAAGATATTAATCTGTTCAGGGCCTATTAAGTGCTTTGTGTGCAGAGATTCAAAATGATTTAGCCAACTGCTGGCTGTAACATCCGGCTTATTAAAGGAAAAGTCTTCGAGTTCATCACTCATGTTCTTAAGTACTTTCCAGAAGGAGTTTGGGTCATTTTCAGACACTCTTTCTAGTTCTTCTAGTTTTTTTTCATGAAAAAGTTCTTTTTTACGTTTTAACGTGTTTTTGTAAATTTTGAGGGCAAAATGGTATTCGTTTCTTATATCGTTATTCAGGGGATCACGGTGTTTTTGGTTGGCAAGTTTCCTAACTGAATGTCTTTTTAAACGGCATTCTTTATCAAACCATTTCTTATTACAGACATTAGATATTTTGTTTCTGAATTTGGTCTTTTTTATTTGGAGGGAACTCTTTTCGGCATGCAAAATAATATCTTCCATTCTGGAAGCGAATGTGTTAACTCCTTCCTTTGTGAGGGGAGTGTCATAGTTGATTAAACTTTCCAGTTTTTGTTGGATTTCGACTGATTTTAAAGCTTCAGTGAATGAGATCGGCGAATTATTTTCCCATGTAAATTAATAAGGGAGTTTATGAGTAGTAGATATGGGAGTCGGAGTTATGTTGCTAGTTGAGTTAATATGTTGCTTTGTTCTGATCCACGTCACAATTTGACTGTGGTCAGATAAGTAGGTTGGTGGTTTGACAATAAAGTTTTCGATGGTTTGTGTAAGCTCTTGGTCACAGATTATATAGTCAACTACACTAGTTCCATTTTTGTGATGGGAAGTGGGTTTACCAAACGAGTCACCAAGAGTTCTTCCATTCAGAATTCTCATGTTGCAATTTTTGCAAATTTCAATAAGACTTTTACCATGCTGGTTAGTAGAGTTATCAAAACTTTCTCTGATTTTTGGTTCAAAAGATGTTTCAGAGATGTCATTTATGAAGGTGTTGCCTTCTTTTGATACAAAATCTTTCAGATTGCTGGTACGGGCATTAAAGTCCCCTAACAGCATTATGTTTCCTTTTTTGGAGAAATTCAAAATGTCATTTTCCAGTTCTTCAAATATTTCATCATCAAAGTATGGAGACATTTCTGGCGGAATGTAGACCCCACAAACAAATAGATCTTTTGTTTGGTTTAAAATTGTACGATCTATTCGACACCACAAGAAATTTTTTGTTTGTTTTTCAATTGAGAGAAAGGTTTCCAATTCTTTTTTAAACAAGACTGAAATTCCACCAGACAAACGGCAACTACGATTGGATCTGGGAGTTGCCGTAATGGTAGATACTGCCTTGAAACCAGGAATGCTGTTTGTCTCTTTGGACCATGTTTCAGTCAAGAAGATCAAGTCATGACCTTTTATATTTTGTATAAAATCACCATTGGTAAGCTTGTTACCGATAGTGTTATGTTTCAGGCCATTTATATTCCAAGCACTAAATGATAGCCTGGAGTACATTTGAGTAAATTTTGGTCAATTTGGATTTTAGGAAAAGATTGGAGAAGCAGCAATGTTTCCCAGTTTGGGGGGGGGGGGGACGCCCCCCTCCCCTTCTGACTCCCCTGTGTATTATCAGGCTAAGCGAGATATGTTTGGCGCTTGTTCCATCCATCGCTTAAGTATATTCTATGAATACCAATCTTGGATTTGGACCAACTTTTCTATTCGTTTCCACCATCTTTTCCAACCATCTTTTCCAACCGACGAAGCCGGAATGCACCAGTGAAGGACCTTTAACTATGGAAGAAAAATGTCCCAGGCATCAACTCGAAATTCATCATAAAAAAAGATAAATTAGGAGGAAATATAAAATCCATAATTTCATCATAATTATCTATAATTGAAAGACATGTTTTTCATCCTTGAGCCCAGATTTTCATCAGTGCAATAAACTCCCACTTATTGGATCATGGCCTAGGGTCTACCGGCCTACGCTCAAAACGAGATTGCATGTATTCTACAATAAGCTGTTCTGGCTTTTGTCTGGTAAAGTTCTACTTCTCGTATTTTAACTATTACATATATTATATTGTGACATAGGTTGGTATTTAGCCACTATCTAGAATAACGAGGAACGATTCAACCTGGTTTTTCGTGCCCACACTTGTTGACTTTTTCTTATAGATTTGCTGCTGCGGCGCCAGGATGCATTTCAGCTCCTCCGCCAGGTTACGTTTCAGCTTCTCAACCATGACCAAATACTGATCTGCTGCACTGCGCAGATAATACCTAAGTGCATTACCATGCATCTTTGTTCTTCAAATATGCCATCAAATATAGTGTCATAGCCATCAAGTTCGAATAATAGGCCATCATCAACTGAGAAATCGTTCTCGTCTGTATTCCGGTCGGGAGAATTTGTGCAATCGCAACCGGAACAAAGACCAGTAAACTTCTATTCTCGGCTTTTTGACAGGCACAACGTCTTGGTGAATATCCAGACTTACAACAACAGTAACGTTCTCCAAACTTCCATCAGTAATTGCCGGCATCCATCTGATATTGACTTCCCTTTCGTTTACTTCTATCTCTACCTATCTATCTGATTGAACACCATGCCATGCACGAATGACGTTCTTTTACTTACATACAAATCGTACATCATATCAATGCCGCGTATGGAAAGGTGCACTCCAAACAGTTATGTCACCCCCTTAAATCAGCGAGTTTGGTCTCTCATGGACAGGGTTAACAGTGTGGTCATGGTTGAGAAGCTGAAACGCACCCTAGCGGAGGAGCTGCATGCGGCGCCACAGCAGCAATTTATAAGAACAAGTCAATTAGTGTGGGAACGAAAAACCAGGTTGAATCGTTTCTCTTTATTCTAGATAGTGGCTAAATACCAACCTATGTCACAATATAATATATGTAATAGTTCAAATACGAGAAGTAGAACTTTACCAGACAAAAGTCAGGACAGCTTATTGCAGAATACATGCAATCTCGTTTTGAGCGTAGGCCGGAAGGCCCTAGGCCAGGATCCCATAAGTGGGATTTTATTGCCGACTGATGAAAATATCGGCTTAAGGATGAAAACATGTCTTTTAATTATAGATAGTTATGATTTTATATTTCCTCCCATTTTATCTTTTTTTATGATGAATTTCGAGTTGGTGCTTGGGACATGTTTCTTTCACAGTTAAAGGTCCTTCACTGGTCCGGCTTCGTCGGTTGGAACAGATGCATGGTTGGAGACAGGGAACCACATGGGCGTACGGGCCTAATCTTGTTGGGGGGGGGGGGGCACAGTATTAGTTTTCCCGACCGCTTTGCTTACACAGTACACATAAACAACTTTGTTCGAGATTTTATCAGGGCCTTTTGTAAGGATTTTTCCGGGGGAAAGAGCATTTTCTAAAAAGGGACCTTTCTGTGAGATAATATATTAGTGGGGGATAGCCATGTGGCCGACATACCACGCATGAATCCCTAGGGGGGTCTGGGGGCATACTCCCCCAGAAAATGTTTGAAATTTGAAGCCCGGAAATGAAATTTCCTGCATTCTGAGCATCCAAATTTGCTCTAAAATTTATGCTAACTATATAACTTACTAACTTCATAATCATTGCCATAAGCCATCATCATTCACATACAGGTGTTTTTATATATGGCAAGGTATATTAAAAGCAATTAATATTGGCATTATTATATTTAATTATTCATTGTAGACCGCGGTTCTTCTTATCAACTTTGCCCGACCATAATTTTTTTTTTGGGGGGGGGGGGCATGTGTCCCCCGCCGCCGCCGATACGCCTATGGGGAACCATTTGAGCAAACATTGAAATTCGCGAATACTTCCGCAACAATCTTTCTTACGTTTGGCGAAGGCTTTAGTTTAGCGAAATCGTTAATTTGTTCCTTGATCGTGTGAATTGTATGTATATTTAAATATTCTCCATCCTGTTTGATACACAAATTTGTATTGAATTAGGATGTTAATAAGTAGATTTAAACGTTAAAACAGTATTTTGAAACAATAGCCAATGAATTGAAGTGATTTAGTACATGAGCAAGCAAACTGTACAATGTATTATTTTAATTAAACAATATTTAATGTGTGTGCATTTATTCGTTAATATTACAAAGGTTTGATCTTTATTCCGTGATTTTATTTTGTTGTTTTTACGGGGGAAATCGGGGAAAACCCACAGGGAAAATCCATTTTTCGCGTCTGCGCGTGCGCAGTGCGAGTTTGACTGATTTGCGCATGCGTATTTGCTACCAAAACAATGGCGGTTCGAATATTTCGAACAACTGATTCTGATAAAGTAAGTTTTTATCTATTGATTCATGTGAAAATTATGTAGTTCCACGAGGGGTGCAACGGAATCCGTTTTCTAAGCATCTTTTGGATGTTCATCCTACGGCCTAAAAGAGACGCAATTGTTAATGTTAAAATCGACGTAACCATACAACGCCTTGAAGAAAAATACGAGATCTTTCATCTCTCTATCGTAGGAGAGTGGTAAGAGTTCCAACTTCTTCAACAGGCGTTGCTTGTATGGCATTTATAGAATCCATTTCGTGGCTCTTCTTTGTACTCTTGCAATCCTTTCACTGAGTTGCATGTTGTGAGTAGGCGAACAAACTTGTGTTGCATAACTGAGCTTCGACTTCACCAGCGCAAGATACAACTATGTACGTCGGATGTTGATGTCTGTGAGTGAGTAGCAAGTCCTCTTAAGCACACCACTAGCTGCCTGTTTGCTTTCGATACCATTTGGTTCATATGTAAGTTCCACTGTAGTTTACTGGAGAAGATTACGCGAAGGTCTTTCCCGTCGTCAACTCTCAACAGCTCTTTCGACCCGAGGTGGTAGGGAAAAGAAACTGGGGCCTACTTGCGCGTCCCCGACAATACTTTACACTTTGACTCGTTGAATTTAATGTTGTTATCCTGATTCCAAGTATCAAGGTTTGTTAAAGTTTCTTGCAACTGGTTGCAGTCATTCAGTGATGTTATGTTCTTGTAAAGCTTAGTGTCGTCTGCAAATATTGCTGGAAATGCTTCGTTGTTGATGACGCCGGCAGCATCGTTGATGAAAATAACGAACAACGTACATTGGACGCAGGATATTACCTCGACACTCCGGATGTAACTGGGGTCCATTGTGATGTAGCGCCGTCCACTGCAACTCTCTGACGACAATTGTTAAGGTAATATATCAGCGAACCAATTTAACAGCTTTCCTGTTAAACCGTAGCATTTGAGTTTTTGAAGGAGAATGGAGTGATCTACGGAATCGAAGGCTTTCGCGAGGTCGAGGAACACTATGTCAGTCTGTTCGTAAGCTTATCAAGTTTTTGTCCTATAGAATGAAGCACTGAGAGCAATTGTGTAACGCAGGAGCGATTTCGTAGAAAACCATGTTGATGTGGAGTGATGACTCATGAGATAGGATACATGTTCGTAAAATTGGGAATACACGTAACGTTTCAAAACTTTGCTGACTATAGGAAGGAGAGAAATGGGACGATAGTTTTCTGCTGGTTCTTTTAGCTGCTTCTTGTACAGTGGAGTGATGTTCGTTGATTTCCATTCTAATGGCATTCGATCACATTGCAGTGAATGGTTGAACAATGTACATAGGCGCATTCTTTCAATAGCCTAGACGGTACACCATCGGGACCACTTGCTTTCGATGTATCCAGACCATGCAAACAGTTGGTAACTTCGTCTACACCAATTGCGATGTCAGATAGATTTTGTTCCGTTCTTATTGGAAGTGAATTGTCGATAGTGTCCTCACCAATGTTTGATCGAGGAGAGGTAAAAACAGGGGAAAAGAACGCATTGAACAGTTCTGCTTTATGGACTGCAGTTTTCGCCGTTACGCCTTTGTACGATATTTCCGACACTTTGCTTCCATGATGACGACATGTCAGGGCATTTTTTAACTATATAACTGGGGGGCCAAAGCCCCCCCAGCCCCCATGGTGGCCCCCCCACTCAACCATTTTGGCCCCCCCCAGTCAAAGTCCCTTTTCTCTAAAATATAAGCAAAACATAGAATTTAGAAGTGAGGTTTGATATTCTAGTAACTGAAATTTGCTTTGTGAATCTTATGTTCTGTCTTTTAACTTTATTTAATGCTAAACATTGTGTTGTAAATACCTTATTATATTTTAAACATTTTCCAGTGGATTGCATTTCCCAGACCCTATAGATTTGAGTTGTTGGAAGGCTCGGCTAAACAAGTTAGTGACCGCAGAGGGCGTAGGAAGCAGCGGGAAACAGGTCTCCAACCCAGTGTTTTATAAGAGGAGATAATTTTGGCCCTCCACCAAAAAAACCCCAATTGATTTCGAAACTAGAAGTATTTGAAATCGTATATATATATAATCAAATATCTGTAATCGATATTTTGATAACAACATATTTCTCGTAATAATCCATCCTGACTCACGGATAGCATAGACTCACAAATCATAATGAAAGAATTGATGAAAGGGCCTAACAAAAGAGGTAGGGAAGACTTTGAAAATGCCATTTCCGACGATTTAGAGACACAAAATGTTCAAAATTTCCCCGCTCTGTGCCAACCATGGTGGCGCTTCGTGGGAGCCGGATCCTCTAAGTTTATCAAGCTGACTCCCTAGGTGACCAAGTTGTGGTATCTACATAAACATACCATGCAAGTACTTCACTGAAGGTTCAGTCTATCTACAGCATAATGTAATGCTGTATATCCAAAAATCTGTTTCAGAAAATGCAGGAATTGCAGTCATAGGGGTAGAAAAATACAAATATTTTCTGGGAGAGAATACCCCCAGACCCCCCTACTACAATTGTTACCAACAACCATCTATCATTTCTCCACACTTGGTATAGTATGGTCCCTTTTTGTAGTTGGCCCCCCCACTGACGAATTCTTAAAAAATGCCCTGCGACATGTCGACTTGTGGTAGCTCCAGAATAGCTTGGGATTATCGAGAAATGAATCTTTAATTTTCACAAGATAGTCACGATGTTTTTGTCTCATTGCGTAGAGTCAGAGTTCGGAGTTTCTGTTTACGGGCGGTAGTTTTGGATTGCCGATACTTTTTCAACGCAGCATATTTCTTTCGTAATAAGTGTCTTATATCACTGAATAATTCCAACATTTTACATTTGCAACTCCAGATCCTGTTTTTCAACTCCAAAAAGGGGGAACAAATTCAGCTTCGAATAATTCCTGGTTTCTATTTCACTATTCGACAACAAGGTCGAGTTGTGTATGACTCATAAATAAATGGTCAAAGATGGCGAACTTGCTCAAGTACACGCCAACTAATTTCGAAAAAAAATCCATATTCATACTTACATGACAGAACAATTAATGAACGCAATGCAGATGCAAGTGTTGTTTAAAGAACAAAACGAGTGCATTAGATATCTTCAGAGCTTTGTATCTCAGAAAGGAAGACAGCAGAATCTGAAAGGTTTTGCGTTGCTTTTTGAAGGACAGTTTAGCCGCTACATCGAATTAAACAATAAGATTTCGTCATTATTTTAAGTTTGTCTCATCTTATGACCATATATATAACATCGCTGTTTTTGCACAATTGCCTGCTCACTCGATATAACTCGGTTTCTTGTTTGTTTTTTATACATTTTCTTTTTCCTATCTTTCTATGTAGGCGGCTAATTCCTTGACAGTGACCATTGCACCAGGTGTGACAACTGGCGAACTTAGCAAATTCTTCACTGACAACAACGTGTGTTTTAAAACAGATGCAATCCTAGACAAAGCGACTTATGGTGGACTAATTGCGGCCGGTTGTCATGTAAGTTAATGCTTTTAAAAAATAATTTTTTCTTCGAGAAAATAAAATTTAAGTTATTTTATTTAATTTTTTTAAATGCTTGTGATGATACTCTGAGTGTGCATCAACACCGAGCAGGCTTGCAAAATATGCCTGGCCACGGTGGGAATCGAACCTACGACTTTTGGAATACTAGCCCAATGCTCTGCCAACTGAGCTACGCGGTCAGGTCGGTTCGAGTATGCGATATTTCGGAACTGAGCCTAGTTCCTTCGATATCAGTGTAATCTAATAATAATGACATTTGCTGTGTTGGTGTAGTGTACTCAGGTGAATAAGATGCTTGTGATGATACTCTGAGTGTACATTCACACCGAACAGGCTTGAAAAATATGCCTGGCCACGGTGGGAATCGAACCTACGACCTTTGGAATACTAGCCCAATGCTCTGCCAACTGAGCTACGCGGTCAGGTCGGTTCGAGTATGCGATATTTCGGAACTGAGCCTAGTTTCTTCGATATCAGTGTAGTCTAATGATCATGATATTTGCTGTGTTGGTGTAGTGTACTCAGGTGAATAAGATGCTTGTGATGATAATCTGAGTGTGCATCCACACCTGGGAATCGAACCTACGACCTTTGGAATACTAGCTCAATGGTCGTATTCGACACAGCAAATATCATGATTATTAGATTACACTGATATCGAAGGAACTAGGCTCAATTCCGAAATATCACATTCTCGAACCGACCTGACCGCGTAGCTCAGTTGGCAGAGCATTGGGCTAGTATTCCAAAGGTCGTAGGTTCGATTCCCACCGTGGGCAGGCATATTTTTCAAGCCTGCCCGGTGTAGATGCACACTCAGAGTATCATCACAAGCATCTTATTCACCTGAGTACACTACACCAACACAGCAAATATCATTTTTTTAAAGTTGATAATTAACTTACAAATGTTCTATTAGAAAAAAACGGTAGCAACATCTCTCTAGAAGTGAACAAGTGCACTTTAAACATTTCCTCTGACCCAAAATATTAACAAAATGTGTTAAGAAACGTTCACTGAGAGCAATCTTGCTGAGTAAGTGCTTGAACTTTTCGTTGATTTCAGGGCGTAGGAAAAGATCAGTTGGCTGTGTCAGATTACGTGAAAGGAATGAGTATTGTGGGAGCGAATGGAGAAGAAGCCGTTTACACATTTCCATCAGATGATCAAGACAATGATAATGCCTTAAAGGTAATAATTAAGGAATCATAAATTTCATGTTTTTTCCCAAATACCCAAGTACTATCGCCCCAAAATAAATTAGGTCTGCATGTCCTGAACCAAACCTTCTTTTTCGAATCAAATCCGCTATTCATATGGTAGAACTTTGAAGAATATTTGTCGCAATGCTTGTAGTAACTGTGGAAAGATCCCTCGAATTCCTGAGAAGTCATGCTGGCAGGCTGTGATAAAGGATTATTTACGAATAATTTGAATCCACTTCCACAGTAATGATATAAATTTCTTTCAGTGCAATATGGGTTTATTTGGTGTGATGACTAGCATTACTATGGAGGTTAAACCAATGGTCATTGTGAAAGTAGAGAACGATTTCAGTTATACTGTTGAAGACCTGTTTTACAATCCCACCGCACTGAAAAAGCTTTATGAAGATAACTGGTCTCTCGAAATCTTTTGGTTTCCTTTTAACAATTTGAGCTGGCCGCAGTTGATCGCCTTGTTCTACTTCAGATGTCCAGGTGAGTTTTCTACAACAACTGGGGTCTAGTTTTAAGAACAACTAACGCAAAAACAATGATGTTAGATAGTTCAAAGAGAAAAACATCGCAAGGACACATTCCATCCTAAAATTTCTTGCGTGCATTTCTCCACTTTCTTCTTTTCCTTTGTTCTAGTGTTTTTGATTAAACATTTAGACGACAAAACTGCGTGGGTGACAGGAGCGTATAGCCGGAAATCAACGCCAAATGTAGTATGGTTTATAGAGTGTGGAATTTCTGTCTTCTACATTATGTAACATTCGTGACGAAGGATAATTACGACCATGGCGCTATCAGTGCAAGGGCGGGGGCGCTAGAAATTCCCCGACAAAGACAAACGTCCCCAACAAAGGCGCTAAGTTTTTACAAGCAATAAATTATGTATTTTTTCACAAAAAGGCTAGAGGGTTCGGGGATATGCTCCACCAAGAAGCTAGACTCCCCCAACAGGGGACTATAGCCCTTCTAGCCCTTCATTAGCGCCACCCCCTGTATCAGTGTTTTATAGTATCAGAATATCGGTTGCGTTGTAACTTTGAAGCTAGCATTGCTTTGTCGAAGACTGCTTTTAATGACTTCGACACTCGTCGCATTTAGCGCGCAATATACAATCTATTTAAATGAAAGATTTTCTTCAGAACAAGTATCTTGGGAACCAAAACACGACAAGCTGTGGATTAGGAAGATAAATCCTGTGGACGTCCCGGATGAACCTACCCCGAACCAAGTAGAGTATGATATAAAGGAAGTGCAGGATGCAATCACCACCGGATTTGGAAGAAGCAGTGCCCCATATCTCAATAAAAACGAATTCCTAATACCCTCTTTTCTGAAGGCGGGATTCGAAATGGTGCAGACATTCAATGCAACAACTCGATTTGAGCCCATGAACAAAGCCATTCATTACCAGAGTTTTATTGACGTTATGCCCGTTCTGGACATGGAGTTTGCTTTTAATGCTGATCCAGACACATTTTCTCGTCAAGTCGAGGCCATGCAAGCCGCCATTGACATAACTAAAAAGTACTACTAAGAAATTTCCTCTGAGTCTTGAAATGGAAGTGAGATGGATGGCAAACAGTGACTGTCTAATCTGTCCGGCGCATGCTGTACACAAGGAAAATGAAACAGGTAAGGAAAATTTGCTTGTAAAAAGAAATTACCCAAATACAGTGTCTTACTTCGATCGCGATCGACGATCTATATTTCTCAAATTCATTAATAATTCATGAGCAATTCAGCCAATGATAATCACCTATTTGATCACAAGATGCCATTTGGATAACCCGGTGAAACTTGATGAAAGTCACTAGTGTTTTCATCAAATATCTTAATTACGCGTGCAAAATTACTTCAATAGAATTCCTAAGTACGTTATGCTTGGTTAAGAATTCTATTGAAATCAGCAAACGAAAACATTCTGTTACGTCTCGATTCATTTGAGAAGCCATATAAACAACTCAAGCTCGTGTTTCACCGGGATATCCAAACACTCGAAAACAATGTTTCTCGTGTTTGGATATCCCGGTGAAACACTCGCTCTCGTTGTTCATATATTACATATGAGACACGGAATGATGACATAATTATAAGATATGATATAAGATCTTATGATATAAGAGAGGTAACGTTTGTAGCCTGACATTTAAGGCTATATCCCGTTTGATATTCTTTGTTTCGTATATGTAAAAAAAATAAACGACTCCTTGTTATACACCTTGTATATAATAGATTATATAAAGACTACGTAGCGCAGCTAAACTAAATAATCTTATTAAATTTTTAACTGTATGATGATCAAGTTTAGCAAGTATATATGAAACATGAAGGAAGTAGACATTAAAACAAACTATCTAAGATGTTCTAAGATGTAAGTTCTGTCTTTAAAAAACACGTTTGTCATTGTTAATTTTGTCATACAAAATAATGCTGACTTATCACTGCACTAGATATGACAAAATCTAAATCAGCATTCAATGCAATTGCTTTGTATAGCGCACAAAATTCGACAAGATTGTTGTAGACGTTTCTACATCAAATTTTTCTCCTCCTTTCACTTTCACTTTCACTCTATATCTGACTGTAGTCTAACGTTGAAAGCAAATTAGGATGCATTTGAAGTAGTCTAGAATACTATATACATTTTATTTCAGATAAACAAACGCTGTACTTAGAAGTGGTTGGCCTCGCTGGTCAAGAAAACTGGGAAGATTATTCCAAAGAAATTGCTGGTGAATGGATGGCTATGAAAATAAATGGCATGGCACCTCTTCCTCACTGGGCCAAACAGTGGAGTTACCTTGATGGCATTGACGACTATATCAAAGAGGTAGGCGATAGAAAAAATCTTTTAAGAAAATTATTACATCTGTATACAATGCATGGACATTGAATTTTGTCCTATATTAACCAGGGTTATAATTTGTCGACAAGTTCCCGAAAACAATTTCTATACTAACCGCTGTCTTAACTTGCGAATTTTTTTTTTATTTGATTTCTTATTTCCTTCACAAATTGGCTTCTTAAAAATTTTCCTTCAAACCATTTGTCTAAAGTTCGTCGTGACCGTCAAAGTAGCAGTGAGATAGCTAATAACAAAAAACTGTAGTAGGTATAGTTAATTGCGAGAAGTGGTGCATTAAGGCGTATAACGTAAGTAAAATCACTTTTTTTATTTCTTTTCTGCTCATGACGATTCCTGATCAATTACAAGAGTTGGCTTTGTTTTGTCTTTTCAGGGGTACGGTGACAACCTGAAAACATTCCGAAAACAAGTCATGAAGCAACCTGAACGGTTACTTTTCTCGAATGCGAGGCTGAACAAGGTCATATTCCAGGATTCCGAAAAGGTATGACATTTACCTTTACAGGTATATTATTACCATGAATTTCATGCACGTTCATAAAATATAATTAACACTATTGACCGATTCGAAAATTAGCAACCACAATTTTGCATTATTTTATATTTTATGCATTACCTGGCTGATATACAATCTTTCAACAGAGATAGTTATTTAAGGTAGTCTTCCACCCAAATTTTCCAATATTCGTTATTTTTTAGAAAAACGTAAAAATGTAGTCTTTATAGCGTTCTTTACAAAATCCGTGTAATTTTAAGAACGAAAACGTACCGTAAACCAGAGAAATCCAGCAAATTCTACACCTTCGTAGGGTAAAACCACGATTTTACCCGGAGCGATAAAGATATGCGATTGGTTTAGTCTATTGTTCCATTTTCAATTATATTGTTCTATCTAAGTTATTCTAATATATGCAAAAACTTTAAAATCGCTTTTCTCACATGAGCATTTTGCGAAATACTAAAAACTCTCCTACTGTTCATACTGAATCAATTCGTTCGAAATTTTCAGAGTTTATTTGCTTGTTACATAGCCATGTCATGGACCTAAAAAACTTCATATATCAGCAATATACATTGCAAGAGTAGCCTTATAAGAACTCCTTTCTTCATATAATTTTAAAAAAGTAAAATATGAAGGCCTTATTATATTACTTGTATATTTTGTTAGGTTCATGACATAGATCGATGTATTAAGTGTCCATTAAAGCTGTTTCTAAAATCCTCTGTAAATTAGTTTGGCTCACATCATTTTTGGAGCAAACCCTATACTTTACCCTATAGCGAGGCCTATCTTAGTTACTATGGCAACGACGAATGTAAAAGTTACTGATCCTGCGTCAGCTGAGGATATTGCATCATATTTGACTCAAATATGACCAAATATGATGATAAAACCTTTAAATTGAAAAAAATGTTTTTAGGGTGGAAGACCCCCTTAAGGCAAAGTGTGAAAGTTTTAGAATGAAAACAATCCTGCAAAATGCACCAAAACGAGGCTAGTCAGGCTAGTATGAACATCCGTAGTTTTAAAGATGACATGACACGGAAAATATTATTTACTGGATGTGATTACCTGCTAAAGCAACGAAGAAAACCATTTTAATTATACTTTGATAGCTCAAGCTCCGTTATGAAAATATTTACATTTTATTATTAGAACTGATGACGTCATTTTGTTTGCAAAACAAAAGAAACTTAATGGAGCTGAATGTGATTTGCTACAAAAAACCTAGTAAAACAAATTCGTAAAGCGATTTTTCGTTCCAATGAGTAGCAGCAAATGAAAGTTGTCGTCTATTATTGTCATTTAAGGTTACTTCAGCAGCGTAGTTTATTGGATGCTTGTAATTATGTTATTCTTTCAAACCTCTCCTATACCTTCCTTATAAATTTGCAAACAAAATGACGTCATCATTTCAAATCTCAAAATGTTAAAATCTTAGAACAAAATAGAATATTAAAAAATTGTAAATGACATCCGATATAAGTCATGTAGGCAATAAGATTCCACCAATACAAATTTTCATGTCATGTCACCTCAAAGAGAACACATGATATTATATTTATACTTTGCAAAACTGTTAGTTTTGAAGTATTCTGTAAGGCGGCAGTGATGACAGTGATTGCCTTGGTCGAAATTAATTGCGGGAGAAAAAAAGCATCACAACCATATTTCAAATCGATCTATAGTATACAAAAGTATTATAAAATATTTATCATCGGTATTGATCATGTCTCCGCAAGTATGAGGTGAAATACGTTCAAAAAGTTACCTCTAAAAGCAGAAATTGGAAAATTTTGCAAACAATTTATCATTCTACTCTTCGAAATGTCTTATATTAAAGTTCTCAAAACACAGCATATTTCCTGTAGGAAGTATTTGTCTGGCTTTAGTTATATAGATGAAAAGGGTTCATATAGATGAAATTGAAAAGGGTTATATAGATGAAATTGTAGGATCCAATGCCAGAGAGCAAACAAGAGACCGAGAAACTTAAGCTTTTAAAATATATAGAATGAAGTCTGACTTTTAATTAAACTGCCTTATTTTGTACTGCTATTAGAAAAGTGAGAAGCCAAAGATCAAAGAATCAAAATCGTCCGTCAAGGCACCTGTAAATGACGCTATTGTGAATGATTCCGAGATGATATTCAAAGATTTGGAGAAGCACGTAGAAACCTGGAAGACTTTTTTCATGACATTGGGAGAGCAAGTGTGGAATGTTCCGTTCAAAGTTCCTAAAATGGATATCCAGAGAGAATGGAAGAACACCGAAGCAATCTTGCATGAGGTAAAACTTCTTTCCTAAACCGTCCAGAAAAGAAATCCAAACTTGTCAGATTTGGGATACCAACTCAAAGATTCTGGCTTCTAGAAATTTTCAATTCTTTGGAATCCGGATTTCAAATTCAAGGTTTTCTGCACATGTTTTCCGGATCTCATGCTTAGGATTATTGATTCAAAAGGCTAACGTTTGCTGGAGCTGAGATTTCGTTAGACCGTTACTTAGAGTGGATCCTTGGACTTAACATAAACATAACATAACATAACATAACACAACATAAATTACAACTTGAAAGGAAATTAAGAGGTCAACCCTATATAAAAGTTCTAAATGTTATCACATATGAAATTGTTTAGTATTCGCAGAGTAAACAATCGAGCTCCACAAATTATCAGGAGCATAAATTTTCTACCAAAAAGTAGATCTATGCAAAGATAGCAAAATCGATTTCCATCGCTATTCCCTTTATAGCATTTTTCGCTGTCACTGGGAGAACAGGCTAGATGTTTGTTTAGCATGAAGACATCATTCTCTGTTTTTGTATGTACTCACTGCCTGTTTATTCTTCATTGCAGATAAACGAGAAGTATCCTCACCTTTGCACTGAAGAAGATTTGTACAAGAATTTGTTCACTTAAGGTAAATATTTGAAACAATTGCACTTGACATATTGCCACATTCTACCCCCTATACAGGGTGTATCAAAAAACACTGAACAGATTTGAAATTGCTCTCAATTTCGCAAAACAACTACTAGTATCCAGTTTTTGATATACATAGCTTTTTTGGGTACTTATAATGTACAATAATGAAAAAAATTTCTCGAACTCAAATTTTGTGAACCAGGAGGGAATGTCTTTTCCAACAAACTAAAAATGGCTTGCGCACGAAATTTAAAAGTTTTAATCAGGGACGCCGTAACTTTGGAGGCAGGGGGGGGGCAGCTAGCCTTTTGCTAGGGGGGGGCAAGGGGGCAGAAGTGCCCTTTTAGTTGTAAAATACTACCTGATAAATCACATTTCAGTGACGCTTTTTCGGGCAAAATCATGAGATTTAGTAATTTAAAGGCCCAGAGAAAGTTAATTAACAAAAATAAGTGTGACTTTGGAAAAGAATGAGGTTAATTTAGAAAAATTTTAGAAAATTTTTGGATTTTCGAAAAAAAAATTGGATAAATGGAGAAAATTGGTGATATCCGGAAAATTTTTTTACGTAACGAAAAATTTTGGTATGTCCGGAAAAAATTTTTGACCCCTAAAATGGTACACTGTCCGAAATTGTTTTGGCGACGAGGGGGTTCCCTTTGGTGTGCGTCTGCCCCCCTTTGCCTTTTTATCGTTCCGGCGTCCCTGGCTTTAATCATATTTTGAGTTAATAGATGGAAAATTCGTTGGGTTTTTAATGTAAAAAATTTCAGACAATTTGCTTTAGTTTAAGCCCTTTAACTGTTCACCCAAACTTAATTTTTTTCCTAAAAATCAGCTATTTGCATGCTTAATTAATGCCTTTGCCTAATTTGCATATGTCAGCAATATGCAAATTAGGTAAAGGCATTAATTAAGCATGAGAAAGGCTGATTTTTTGGGAAAAATGAATAGTTAAAGGGCTTAAACTAAAGCAAATTGTCTGAAATTTTTAATTAAAAACCCAACAAATCTCAAAATATGATTAAAGCTTTTAAATTTCGTGCGCAAGCCATTTTTTAATTTGTTGGAAAAGACACACCCCCTGGTTCACACAATTTGAGTTTGAGAATTTTTTGTCATTATTCTACATTATAAGTACCCAAAGAAGCTATATACATAAAAAACTGGATACTAATAGCTGTTTTGCGAAATTGAGAGCAAATTCATATCTGTTTATACACCCTGTATAAGTCCAGATTCTTGCAGTGGTGAAGCATAACAGCTAGTTAATTTAGGCTCAGCTATATTGCGAGTTCGGTTATAACCTACAAATCCAACAATTTTTAAATGACATCAGTCTAATGCATCTATCAATGTTAACCCCCAGAGGGGGGGGGGGG